TGAGATACACAGGGCTTGCAAACAGAGCCTGAACAAAAAGATATGAAAGAAATTTTGTTTATAACTTTTAGGTAAACATTAACTCCCCTGAAAAAAAAATGTTAACAAAAGGGAGTTTAATTCTTGACTATCTATCTTTGGGGACTGTAGTGAAACAGGATGTTGGTTGCCTGGGGAGCTTCAGTTATATAGTTGTAGCTATCTGAGGGGACAAACACCAGAGCAGCGTGTATGAAGTAGAATGAAGAGAGGAGACTAAGAGTTGACTCCACCACTGATTTATTAAATAACTCCTAGAAACATCCAACTTCCACTCTCATGCTAGGGATCTATAAATGTTCTCATCATTAAAACCACTGCTTCTACAATATCAGTATGCACAGAAATCATTTGGGGATCTTGTTACCCTTGATAATGTGATTCTAGAAAGCCACAGTTAGTGCTTAAGAGTCTGTGTCACTTACAAACAGATGATGAGCATACACATATTAAGTTTTTGAGATATTTTAAATATTGGATTCTGTTACTCTTTATCAAAAACATACTCAGTGATACCTTTGAACAAATATCAAGAGACTTGGAAGTTTAATCCACCTAAAAATGTGAACAATGAACTTTGGAAACACACTTGCTAAAAAAAAAATCTACATTTGAGATTACTGCATGTGAGGGTTTGGAGACTGTAACAGTCTAACTTCAAATTCTGGTTCTAATATTACACACTGGGTGACACTGTTCCAAATTTGTTTAACCTTTCTGCATCTTGATTTCAGAAGATAGATTTCTCTAGAAGAAATATACGTTTCTCTATTTCATGTGTTTGGTTTGAGAATTAGTTGAGGTGATATGATAAAAAGCTTAAGGGGAAAAAGTTTAAATTCCATTTCTATGATGTTACTGGCAGGATGGAAATCTCCACTCCCAGACCTCACTCGTGGCATGTATACCTAGTTAAAATGGTATCCAGTCTGGTAAATATGAACAGGTTGTGGCAATCAGCACAAACACTTTCATAGTAACTGAACTGCTGTCTTCCAGTGTGCAGCGCCAGTATCAGACCAGCATAAGCTTAACTGGAAGTCTGAAAAAGAATAGTCAAAGTTGCATTTTAATGTGACTTGCTTCCCTTTCAAAATGTCGTCTGTAGGTGAGAGAGGATATTTTAAAATTCAAAGTCTCTCTCCTAACAATTGTTGGGACAGTGCCAAATGAAATAAAATTGTTGTTAGCAGATTGGATTAGTGGTAAGCCAAATCTATTTCCTTTAGTGGGACAAAAGTGAGAGGAAATACAATTTTAACTTAGATTGCAAATAGGATTGTAGGTGCCTGCTATGACTGTAAATGTAGCGATGTACTTTCTGGAGGTGTAGTGTTTAAATATTGCATGAGATGTTCATATTTATAGGCCCAGATGTTCTGATTAACAAAATGCTTCTGTGGAATGGATGCCTGCAGTAATAATTTTGTACATCCCTATCAAGACACCTGAACAAGTAACTCTGTTAATTATTTTCCAGGAATATAGTCATGACCTCTGATGAAAAAATTTTACGGATAAGAATAGTTCTTAGATATTTCCAGCAGAATAGGAAAACATGCTTTAATATTATATGTTCTCTCACCATCACGGGATTCATTCATGTAACTTCAAATATAATGCAGCAGTCTGTCACTTCAGACTATCCTTTAACTTTAGTATTACTGTTGTCAAATCATTTTCTTTCTTTCTTTCTTTCTTTTTTTTTTTTTGTCTTTTTCATTTTTATCGGTACCGGGGATCGAACTCATGACCGCCTGCTTACAAGGCAGGTGCTTATGCCGCTGAGCTAAACCCCCAGCCCCCAAATCATTTTCAAAAACATCTGGAAGTATATGGTAAATATCTAAAATACTTCCTTAGATGATGTGGGTGTGAGTTAACTTTTTTTTTTCTTATTTCAGAGGTAACATAGCACAGTAACTGACAACATGGACTTTTAATTTTAATGGAAATTCATTATAGTCTATTCACTTCTTAGTTGCATAAATTTGGGTAAATTTCATAATTCTGTAAGATTCAACTTCCTTGCATATTAAATCAGAATAATAATACTATTTCAGATCATGTTAAGAAGACTCAGTTTAATAAAGCTTGTAGAGTACTTGACATAAGCTGAGCACTTAGTAAGAGTCCAATGAATTTTAGGTAGACAGCATATTCAAATCTGAAAAGAAGCTATGTTTTTCTTTTCATTTTATTTGTTTTTTTCTATAATCACAATAATAAACTCTTACAGAAAAATGAGAAACTCTCTCTACAAAACGGAACCTGAGTCAATAGCTAGTGCATGTGTACTTTATTTTGGAGAGTGATCCTGAGAAAGAGAAGAGTGAAAAAGGGGTAAGAGAAAAAGAAGAGTCCGGAGCTGTGGGCAGCTAAGGCCCAGGAAATCTTTCAAGGCCCATTCGTAACATTTGAAGGAGAGAGTATAGTCCCTGTGCCAATTTCCATTATTTGGGTTTCGATAGGGCATTAGCACTGTCATGCATGTTTGTGGTGTGTAAGAGACACATTTATTGGCTCCAGCAGGTAGCCAGCAGTAGTACCCGAAAATCCTCAGAGTAGAAAGTGACAGAGAGCACAGTTAAGAGTCCCCGTTATTTATACGCAATTCTGGTCCCTGCAAAACACAAAGGTGGTCAGCGGACATGAGAAAGGAAAAAAGGTATTGTATTTCATAGGGGATTCTTGTGGAACCCATGTGACTTCGGCGACCCTTGTTACCTGTGAACAATTCATTCCCAGGTGACTCTGCTGGGAAGCCCATTATTTGAGAGTCAAAGGCTTAAATAATTCTCTTGTAAGGACCAATACTTACATTGGTCCATTCTAGTTGATCTGTAACTGATGCCTGCCGGCCTCTAAGTGGTAATAGGTATACTAAACAGAAGGAAAAATGATTCTCCAGGGAGAGTCGTGTTTTGTAGAACACTCCCTTCCTTCAGTTTTTCAAGGAAATCCAACAAATCAGCTCAGATTCCTTAGTCTCTGACTGCTGAGTTGATGATCTTAATGGAGGCCAAGTGAAACACAAAAACACTTTTCTCTCAAAATAGCTTCCAGAACCAAGTTTGTTTTTATGTTTCTGAATGAGTTAAACATTACTTACCTTTTTAATATAATTTTTAGTTTTCTCTTGGTGTGTTTAAGGAAAAAAGCAACGCTTCAAAATGTTTGCTTTTGGAATGTTAGGAAATAGTCCCAATGCATAAATGTGTTTGAAATTATGGCATTGTTTTTAGGGAAAATCTGTAAAGTAAAATATATATTTAGCTTCTTTTGTTTAGGACTGGAGATTGAAGGTAAGGCTTACTGCATCCTTGGTAAGTCCTTACATGTCGGTGAACATTTCTTTTATCAAAAATTGCCCAGTTATTAAAACTCAAAGACTTACACAGATGAACGTTTTCTACCTTCCAGTTAATCAGTATGTTTTCATTTGGCAGCTATTTAGCCTTCAAGGTGAAAGTGGGTCCCACACAAACATCTTTCACATTATAAACTGTATTAAATTAATTGAAAAATAGATAAAACACTGATAATAAAACAAGAGAAATGAAGAACAGTAGAAGGTAAATAGTTTTTAAGTGTTACTCAAATAGACATTCAATAAAACCACACCTTTCAGACAACATAATTATTTGCATCATAAAAAATTCTAGTGGTCAAAGTTTAAAATATTGATTAAAAAGCTTCAATTGGACTTCAAATCACCTAAAAAGAAATTTGTCTTAATAAAATAGGCAAAAAGTTTCTTTTAAAACATTACAACCTATTTTTTTTAAAAATGTGTTTACTGTTATTGAAAAAGACCTCAATGGGTTTTCAGAAGCAGGAACCTTTCCCATTTTAAATTGAATCTAGTGCAGCAGTGAAGATGCAAAATCAAACAAAGCATCCCGAAGACAAGCGGAGACCACCCTTCCCCACACCAGTGAGTTACATTTCCAAACACCCAGAATTTTGGGTCGATCTTTTAAAAAAAATAGGAGGATCATTTAGCAATTCTCTGACATTTTAAATTCTCCTCCTGGTAATCTGATATCATGGTAATCTTTTAAACTATTTTTTAAAAGCCATGAAAACACACTATACCACATGGATTTTTCTGAAATTCAAATCTTAGTTATAATTGACTCAACACAGTCAAGTTTATTTCACACTCTTCAGTATTACTGCAAATCAACACTGCAAGGAATTGATGGATTTTGTGCCTTTGGTTCAAATTAAATAGCAAACACTGCTGTTTGTGAACTTTCGGGCCAATTAATAAAAAATGGTTCTCACCAGAAAGATTTAAATTAACCAGGAGCAATGAATTGGGCAGACCTTGAATAGAAACTGGAAATAAAATAATCCAATCTTTGCTTTCACAATGAAAATCAGAATTGATTATGCACTGAGAGACAAAATTAAAAGGATCAAGTGGGGTTTTTCCCTTTAAAAAAAAAATCCCTTCTCCACCAAATGAGCAAAGTAGCACTCAGTGGCTTTGCATTGTTAACAAAATTTTTTATCGAAACTATAATTTAATATTTAAGTATCTAATTTACATGTGACAAGGTATCATTTTCAAAAATTAAATTGCAACTAGAAAACTATTAACCACTAAAAACAATACCAAACACAACCCAAGCATTTATAGGAAAGCAACAGCTAGGATTTGAATTAGAAAAAAAGGTCATCATATTTGGCTCATTAAACAAAGCATCCATTATAATCTGTAAAACAACATCTTTTCTAATTCATCAAAAGTTTACCCTTATAGCATGAATAACATAGAAAGATAGATTCACTGACTGTATATGCACACGTGTGTATATATATATCGTGGACATACACTCCTGTGTTGGTCTAAAGACTTCCTATCTACTGATAACTGGCTGAACTTTGGAAGGTGCTGAAATCCATATTTCTACAAGTCCTTCGACTCAAGAATATCTTTTTAAAAACAGAAATTACATAAAATACTGTTTTTATTAACTGAATATTTTCTTAAGCGTAATAATAGACAATGAAAGAATTGCACTTATTGTAAAGGTACAGTAGTGTTAGAATGCAGCTCAGCCATCAAAGATCAGGGACTGTATTACTGATGATGAGTTGTGCATTATATGCAAAGATGGTGAAGGCCAGTGAAATTAAAACGAGAGCAACTAGTTACAGAACAAATGGGGATAACAGAAGAAAACATGCACTACTCCTACTTTAATGTGAAACTGATTTCTCCCCTGAAACCTCCCTTTGACCTTCGTTTTACAAAGAAACAGGTTCTGCACTCTTGGCAACACAGTAGACTTGGACCTCCGTCTTCAGATTCCAGTTCATTGTCTCTGAGTGTGCTGTCCCAGCATCATCTCCTTAAGCTGCCCTTGAAATCTGGAGCGTCCACGATACGACAATCTCTTGGTTACATTTCATTGAGCCTTGCTATCCCCTTCAGTTCTGTATAAATAGGGTCCATTATTCATCTTCTTCTGGTTCCTGTGATAACACAGATATTTCTTCCTTTAAACAATCACTGAAGAATCTGAGGATTGTGCGGTAGAGATGATATTTGCTCTTCTCTGACACGTTATGACCTTCATCTGGGTAGACCTGAGGCAGTGACAGGAAGGATGATTTCAAATTACCAAAGCAGCTATTATCCCTCAACGTGCATACTGTTAGCCCTATAGTTGATGGACTTTAAAAAATAACATCTAGCTAGAGGATGGGAATTTAGCTCAGTGCACAGCACTTTATTGCCATATTCAAGGCTGCAGGTTCGATCCCTAGTATAGGAAAAAACGTAAATAACAAAAGGAAAGGTAATATCTAACAAAAACCAACTGATCTAACTAACCTTTGAGTTCTTTAAGCTAAACTTTTTAAAAGATTATAATTATGTGAATCAATATTTGAGACAAAATATTTCCCTTTGTATTTAAATTAAGATCTGTTGTTCAAAAACAGATCCCATATTCATATTCATAGATAGTCTTAATATTCTCTCTTTGACTAAACTGTGGACAGTTTTTTACTGAATATACAGAGGATTTTAACCTCCAATTCCTAAAGTACCTACTTTAGAAAGACCTGAATTATGTATACTTTTTCTGCTCTTTTGGTATTTCTGAATGCTTTCTTTTATCTTTTTGTCAGTTTCATAATCCAAACCATGTATTTCTTAACCATATGGCAGACATCTATTTGAAGTGTAAACATCAAAATAGGCAAATATTTTTCTCTGTTTGTCTCTGTGGGAACATAGGCTCTTCTTGCTACTTGAGGGCATTTCAGGAGCCAGAAGAATCTCATCCATCACAGGTTATAAGGTTTAAAACTGTAAGCTCATGTCAAAGACTTTTGTACCTAGGGTACCCTGCTCATAAAAGACCTCTTTGGGAATTGTTTCCTTGGGATTCACACCCTATGTTGAGTTTTGAATAAAACCAAAGACTGTTGCAACTGTGATTTAAAAAGTTTCAGATATAGGAAGAGTCCTGGTCTCGTGTGAATCAGAGTGGTTTCTCAGGCATCCTAAGCATTATGGATTCATAAAAGCTTCCAATGAGATTTCAAAGGAATTCCTGGGAAACCTTGTAAAATGGGGCAGGATAAGACTGCCTGTCAACAATTTCTGATGTGACGTATGGAACTGTGAGAGTGCTGCTGCAGCTCTAACGGAGAGCCCAGAGCTGGAGATACCAGGAAGGAGTGGAAGCTGCAGGCACTGAACAGAAGTAGCTCAAGAGAGTGAGTGTGTGGTCTGGTACTACCATAGGTAGGTGCCAGCTGCTCAAATCTTTGGAGCTTGCATTATGCCCCTAGATATTCTCAGTAATGGACACAAAGCTACAGTACGTGAAGCTGCTGTGTTTTGGTCTTTGTGTGGTCTAATTCTTCCTTAATATTTCCTGTTTTTTTTTTTTTTTTTTTTTTTTGTTTGTTTTGTCTTTTTCCTTTTTATCGGTACCGGGGATTGAACTCAGGACTGCCTGCTTGCAAGGCAGGCGCTTATGCCAATGAGCTACATTCCCCAGCCCCCCCTTAATATTTTTTTTTATTCTTCCCATTTGAAATGATAATACTTGTCCTCTCCCACTATAGTTAATTGGAAGTATATAAATTTTTATTTTTATTTTTATAGGGGTGAGTTCACAACTGAGTTTGCATTATTTCTCAAAGCAGATAGGACCTGGACTTTTCACCAATATTGGAACTTTTAGTATTTTTGTGTCTCTGGAAAATGGACTGAATTTTACATTGTGAGACATATGTGACTCACTGGAAGTCAAGGGCAAGGTACTATTGTTGGGATAGTAAAAGTTCTCCAAAGGCTTATGTGTGAAATACATAGTTCCAGTACTTCGGTACCACAGAAGGTGGTGGATCCTTTAGGAGGTAGAATCTAGTGAAAGGAGTGTGTGTCATTTTGATGGGAATGTGGGACACTTGTCTATTTCTCTGCTTCTCAGCTTCTGTGAGCAGCATGTAAGTCCTTCACCACACACTTTCATCATGATATACTGCACAGTCACGGGCCCAAGGTGATGGGGCCAAGTGACCACAGACCAAAACATTGAAACTGTAAGCCACAATATATTTTTCTCTTTTTATAAATTGATTATGTCAGATATTTTGTCACAGAAAGCTTACACAGCCAGGGACGTAGCTCTGCAGCTTAAGCACCTGCCTGGCGAATGCCAGGTCATGTGTTTGATCCCTGGTAGCAAAAAAAAAAAGAAAGCTAACACATTGTTCTTCCACATATCAGAAAACTAAAATTACTTATTTTTCCTCTCTGGCTCTTCCATCAGGCTGATAGTTTTTGATAGTATTCTTATTACCCTTATAGCACAGTGATCACTGTAAAGAAAATCCTTGATAAGTATTTATGAATACACAGATATAAATTATGATGTAAATGACACTTTCTCTTCTCTTCTTTTCTTTTAATATTTCTTCCAATCATGTTTATCTCTAATTATTATGATGAATAGAGGAAATAGCAGAAAGACAAAATAATATGGTAAATCTCTATTTTAAAAGAATTCAACATTTGTAGTAAGAAAAAAAGTCTGAGAAGAAAAGGACATTTTTATAAGGTTTTACACAATTCACTTGCACAGAATAAGCTGTCCCAAATTCTGACTGTAATAGGAAGCAATAACACAATTTTTTACCTAAAAAGCATACTACAAAATTGTTACATTAAAATTAAAATAATACTGAAAGTGTGCTCTATATCTTAAAAAGTAAAAATGGAAGATATAAAAAGACAATTGATACCTATAGTTTGCATCCTGAATAGTTTGCAAACATCTATGTTTAAAGAATGGCACCATGGGGAAGTGGCCATGGCCAAGAGGTGAGGCCTAGTGGAAGGTTCATAGGTCACCAGGGGATTGTGGGAGCCTGGCTGTTTCCCAGCCTTCTTTGTTCTGTGGCCCTTGATGTGTTCTGCTTTGTACTTCAGTAAGCTTTCACCATGATGGGCTGTTGCCTCCTCTTGCTTCTAGCCCAAAGCAAAAGACGAACTGCCCAGGGATTCCTAATTCCTGAACTCTGAGCCACAACATCACCTTTTCTAAGTTTATCTTGGGCATCTGCCATGATGACAGAAAGCTAACCAGTGAAACATTTTTTTTAAAAAGAGGCTTACCTGCATTGTATAATTTACTCCAGCTTGTATTAGATGTTTGATTAATTCTGCTGAATGCTGGAAGTGAACTTTTGCTGAAAGAAATAAATTATTACATTTGAAGAAAATACATTTGCTGGGGAGCTGAAATTTTTCATCTGATTTTTTTTTTCAAAGAGATGAACTATTTTCTGTACACTGTACATTAAAAAAATTTTGGTTTTAACTCAAAAGCTATTAGATATAATGATTAAATTCTAGTTTCACATTATAAAAAATAAACTGATTCCACAGGAGTTATAACTAAGGCTTACATCTGTAGAGGTTGGTTTACAGATATAGTTTATTGGATATCACTTATTATGTGTAGTTGTTCACATACTTTGCATGTCATAAATTTTTTAACATAGTAAATGTTCTGGGTAGCTATTAGCACAGCAAAACTGATTTCTATTCCTTAATGAGGCCCAGTCTCAGTTAGATACTGGCATTCTGCTTTATTATAATAAATTAGAACAGAATGCCTCATGTTGAGAAAATACAGTACACATCTCATTACTCAAGGGCTAAATATTTAATGTAGAACACACTTATTACTTCTGTTTCCTTCTTTCTTCCTTCTGCTGAAATATAAAGTCCAAAAACTGAAATAGGCTGCACAGAGACTCTGGGTTTGGTTGACGTAGCTGTGTAAACTCAGATCAGTCATTCAAATTTCTGTTCGCACAGCAATTGGTTCAGGTGCCACCTGGACTCATCCTCTGTGTACTTATACATCTTTGAATTTCTGTAATTAACTTCTAAACTCACATCTCATAACTCTTTTTGTAAAATCAGAGTAGCCTTATCAATAATTTAAGGTTCTTTAATATTCTAGCTCCATGATACCAAATAATCATATTGCATAGCATAGGATAAAGAATCCCAAATAATCATTCAAGTACTTTAAAAATATGCCCAAGATCTTTTTCAAAAGTTTCCCATTATGCTTAATGGGAAAATTATCATACCAACTTTAAGTACAAATTGCTTAGCAAATATAAACTACTTGGAATGTTAATTAACAGGGCAAAAGACTAAGATAAAATAATCCCCTATAAACCTATATTGTCTATGAGTAATTACCTGTAATTTCTTTATACAGATACAGATAAAAAGACAAATGAACAACCTGGGTACGGTGCATGCCTCTATCCTAGCAGTTGTGAGGCTGACTCTGGAGAATTATAACCAGTTCAAGGCCAGACTGGATTACACAGTGAGTTCAAAGCCAGCCTAAACTATGTAGCAAGCCTCTGTCTCATCTGCCTTCCCAACTTCCCCCAAAAAAGTACAATTAAATCTGTTTGCATTTTTTTCTGCTTTCTTTCTAGAACAAAACGTGTCAACATTTTCCATTTATCTCCTTCCTCAGGTGTGTGCATGTGTGTCTTGCTTGTGCATAGGCACAGTTCAATTCCCCTGAAGGAACCAGGACTCAGTTTCCCTGTTCTCTCACATAGGCAAAGAACCAGACCCAGGACTGAGTGCATCAGTCAGGAATAACCTGGTATCCTGACTATGGCTTTATCATACTGTAAGTTAAAAGAATGCTACCATAGTGTAAGGTGTTGGCAAGAGGCAAAATAATTTACCTTTCAATACAACTGAGTCACATGAAGGAGCTGCACTGCATGATAAATAAGAATCTCAGCACCTGAACGCACACCTCTGTCTACTAATAATCAGGTGCTTTTTCTACTATTTACTTCACCAATCTACTAAGTAGCAAGATAGTAGTAAATAAGAACATAGTAATGCCTACCATACAGTATTATTGTGCAGAACAAATCAGATAATATAAAATTAGCACATTTTCTGACACAACATTAGTACCTAATAATTGCTAATTTTTATAATGATTGTTGATGTATATGTAAGATCTAAATAGCTTAAAACAGGATTCTAATTTCTTCTATAAGTACTATGTTCTTTTTCAGTATGTTCTACCCATGGCTGTAATTAAATGTTTTATGAATAAATTTCTCATTTGTAACAGTTTTCAACCTTCACAAAAGATGCCACCACAGCACAAATAGTTTCTACTTATACCTTTCCCAGTTTTCCCTTTTGCTAACATGCTACATTGTCATGAGACCATCTCAGCTCACTCGCCAAGTAGACTTGGATAAATGTTTCTTTCTTGAAATTGATTTTTCTTAACCATGACAATAAATACTCAATCTTCTATTGTAAGGTATCACATTATGGGAAAATGAAAATGTAAAATTTTTTGAGCCCTACATGTTTTATGTGAGTATAGTTATTTAGTACTTGTAATACCAATCTTGCCTACATCTCATGCTTAACATGGTAAAAAAGATGGACATGAGTTGGAAATTTTTCTTTGCTCTATTTCACTTAAGACAGTAACCTAACCAGAATTTCAGTTTGCTGACTTTATGAGATGCAAGTGGGTTCCCAGTTGAGGTGCACTGAATAGCACTGCAGCCATTGTCACTAAATATTGATAAAAATGTTTTCCTCAGTCACACTAAATACAACATGGTTAAATGCTGTCAGGTTAAATGCTGTCATGGTTAAATGCTACACTCAGCAGCACAGGTAGGCTATTCCCATCGTCCCAGGGAAAACCTTATTGGACAATGTTATTTGAGGATAACCATCTCCCCTCAGTCCTCAGTTTTCCTTCCCACTTTCTACAGGCATCTGGTTCTTTGTGGTACTTTCTGCCCTCCACTTCAGCAGCCTCACAGGGCTCCCCATTTGCAGTCCTAAAATGTATCCTTTATAAAAGGTCAGAGCTCATCAAATAGCAGCAGCAAATAAAAAAACTTACTGTCAGCAGTTCCATGAATTATTAATATATTTTCTTCTTTTAAGCCATGTATATTATGCAGTACACTGGATGCCTATAAAGACAAACACAAATTTATATCTACAGACCTATCTCAAAAAGCAATTTGACTTCATCTTTGGGACAAAAATGCTCTTCCCTGTCATTTTTAAATTAGTTACCTGATAAGTGCTTTCTTCCTTAGATGGCATACCAAGGTATCTTTCAGAGAAAGCAGAAGCTGCGGCCCAACAGAACAGAAATTCAAGAATAAACTAAGAACATCACATATTTTATTATTTATTTCTACATTTCAAATTTAATTATCATGCTTCAGTGAAACCAATTGAATCAGGGCAGTGATAAACAACTCAAAACAGGCTTAATAATACATGATAAATGATCTCAATTGAGCTTTTTTTCTACAAATCAATAGATTGCATTAGGTCAGGTTATAGGGCAAACTCACCATACAGCTTCATGTCTGTGATGGGCGCAACCACTGATCCACATTTAAAAAACTTTTCATCTGACTTTAAGATCATTGAGGCAACGTATCCACCATATCCCTGGCAAAAAATGAACAAAACAAAACAACTCTTCCTGGAGATAGTTTTAGTTTCTGATCACTACATGACAATGTACACATCAAACTTTCTCATATTATATCAGAATTGAAAAAAGAATGCACAACAATCACTGTGCACATAAACATTTTGAGCAGTGGCCGAAAGTTTTATATTCTGTTAATAATCTTACTAATATATCAGATCACTAAAATGTAAAATATTTGCTCCATGATTGTATACTGTATAACTAAGAACTGTTCAAAGTAATTTGAAATGAGGGTTTTAAAGCACTCTTTAAATTGCACACCATTTTAAGAAAATTTAGTATATTTTTATTAAAATACTTAAATAGGAATGTTGTTTCTGGAAATTAGTAAGAAGAATAAAGTATTTAAAACAGATCATCACAACTACAGATCCTGCTTTTAGTTCCTGGTAGAATTCGGCAAATATCACCCCAGACTATGACTGTAGGAAACCAAAATCTACTATCTCAATTATGTTTTACTGGCATAAGAATTATTTTGGGCTCTCTTGAGACTTATCAGACACAGTAGCACTTCCAAAAACAATGCTAGAGGTTGCCCTTTTGAGAGAGAAATTTGTATTTGTAAAGGAAGTTTCATTCTGTGAGGGTCTCTCCCTTTTATAGCAAGAAGAGAGGGATGCTTAAATCACTAACTTCTGTCATCCTTGGAGAAAATACTAGTTTAAATCTGTACAACAAGCCCCACCTCTGGTTTATGGTAGTCTCCTCTACTTGGGTCCTTACTAATCCCCTTCCTTTTTTTTAAAGAAGCAATTTAAACTTGAAGTCTAAGACAACACTTTGAGATCTACTCTAGAGATTTGATATTGACCTCTCTTACGCCTAGGGAAACATACATGCTAGGACACTTCGGCTTTTCTCTTATGGCTATTACTTTTGTTACAGGGAGTTCTACTTATGAACACAGGAAGAATAGAGGAGAAAATTACTTTTCCTTCCACTACATTCCAGATAACTAAATATTAAAATATATGAGATGTTAATGCCTCATGTTGGTAGATGACTTGGATTATTGTTTGAATTTAATTTTAAAAAATCATATTTAAGTGTTTTGAACTGATAGAGGAAAAAAAATTCTTAAAATCTAAGTAAAGTTGTACAGTTTTCTTTTGCAAAATGGTATCCGACCAGAAAAGCTTCAGAGGCTATTTTAATAATTCACAGAATTACTATATTAATGGACTGCCAGTACTGAGTTTTACATTTTAGAAATCAATCTTCAGCTGTACTCTGAATAATGTTCTTTATGCTGCTGAATATCAGACTATCTTGGGAAATATTAAATGATAATAGTACTCAGGATTTAACCTCTGAAATTCTGATGCAATTAGTCATTGCACGATCTAATTTTGAAAGACTTTTTTGATGTCTCGATGGCATCAGTTTGATGGGGATCTGTTATTGTTATTTAGCTTATAAAGGAAAAGATACTTTGCTTATGTTTATCTGGAGTATCTTTTACAAATTGGTAGATGATCTCCTCTAATGTATTCAGCCACCACTGTTGTGCAGGCTACATATGTGGTATTCGGAAGGCTGAGTGAAGCTTTTCCAAAATTTGTGAATTAAAGGATAGAATACCACATTCCAGGGATTTTACTTGCTACAATACAGATTTTCTCAGTCTCATGGAGAAACAGCAAGAGTCATAGATGTGCAAAATGTGGAATAAGTATATTAATATACTTATATATATGTGTTAATATATTAAGTATATTAATATACTTATATATATGTGTTAATATATTAAGTATATTAATATACTTAATATATGTGTTAATATATTAAGTATATTAATATATCTTAATGAAATATAAAGGGGTAAAGAAAAAAAGTGAGGAAAGAAAATAAGTTACTGTTACAAGGCAAATAAAGGAAAGATCCTTGAAAATTTTGTCCTTAGAAAGAGTATTTCTAGTGTATTGTTTCTTGGTTTCCTTTATGTAAATAAGAGCAGAATGTTGCAGCTAGGAGGTGTCAAATATTTTCCTCAAGGGGGACTTTTTTCTAGACTGTGCAGTGCATTTGCACTCTTAGCTGATGCATGCACGTTTCTTTTCTGTTCTGAATTCTATGAAGGGCAAACCTACTTTCAAATGATAATCATCTGACTTACTAGGTAACTTCAGTACCCTAAGAGAAACCTGAACATCCTAATCATAAAATTCTAGTCTTCAGAACTGTATATTGTGTTTAAATATCTAAGATAATAAACTGACATTATGTGTTTTTGCTTGGTTTTTTACTTCAGATTTATGTGTTTTCAGAGCCAGGAGATAAGAAGAGTGTCTTGCAAAGGAGAGGCGTATCCTAGAACAATGTTTCTCAACTTGAAAGTTCATTCATTGGCATAAAAAGAGATGAACAGATCTGCCAAGAGAGTAAAGAGATCAAAAATAAACCCAAACACATGCAGCCAGCTATTTTTACACAATGGATTGAAGAAGAAATAGTAAGGATACTTATTCTATAAATAGTGCTTGCTGGTAATTGAAGTTTTACATAGCAAAGTATAAAATTAGATCTTCTTCATAAATCATTTATGATAATTAACTCAAATGCATAAAAGTCCTAGATAAAAGATCTAAAACTGTAAAACCTCTAGAAAAGAATATAGAGATGAAGCTCTTAGATTTTGGTCTTGGCTACATTTTATGGGTATTGTGCTGAAAACCCAGGCTACGAGAGCAAAAGTAAATGGGATTATATCCAACTTAAAACCTCATTGAACAACAAAGGAAGTGAGCAACAAAGTGAAACTTGCAGTCAACTCATTACAAAAATATCGGCAAGCCATATATTTGAGAAAGGACAATCCTCCAAGTGTATGGGAAAAATTGATAAAACTTATACAACTCAGTTGAAGAATGGGCAGAGGGTCGAAATAGACACTTCTCCAAAGTTGACAAAAAATGGACAACAGTGGCAGGACAAGGCATCCATTATCACTAATTATTAGGAAATGCAGGTCAAGCCACTAAGACTTTTCACCTCCTACAGACTAAGACAGCTATTATAAAAAAGACACATGATAACAAGTATTGTCCAGGGAGAAGAAGAAGCCGTTGTATACATATTTACTTGGAATATAGGCATTATCAAGGGGATGCTAGCTTCATTAGGGTGATGTAAGCATTTATTAAGGAATGCAATATGAAAGTTTCTGAATTAATTAAAAATGCAATTAATATATCTCCGGGGAAAATGGCAAAAAATAAAAACATAGGAGACATCCGTTCTCTTGTGTTCTTTGCAACATTATTCCCATTGACTAAGACGTGGAAACATAATGTCACATATAAAAATATAATAAAAAAGCAACTGGTACATATGCACAGTGGAATAGTACTCAGCCTTTAAAAAGTAGGTCTTAGTATTTCCCACAATGCAGATGAATCTAATGAACACTATGCTAGATGAAAAATGAGAAAAGCCTTGAAAACAAATTCAAAGCCTCTATTATGTTCCTTACAAGTGGAATCTGAAAAAAATGTTCAAATGTATAATGATGGAGAATACAATAGTCTTTGTCAGTGGTATATCTCAAATATGTATCAGGTTTATATGTCTGATACATCAAAGTATCAGATATGTAGAATAAACAAATCTAAGTACAGAATTTACAGTATGATACTGATATTTAAAAAGTTATATTTGGGACTTTTGTCAAGTGAGTAGATGTTATTAGCTGCTTTTGCTATAAACCAAAACTTGATAAAAAAAAATGAAATGGATGAAATCATCGCTAGCTTCAATACAGTAACTATGTTATTATCTGATCCTATTGCACACATTTAATACATATGATACATATTATTCAGAAAAAAAAGTCACTTGGGCACTTTATTAAAATGAAGATTTTATTTCACTGGACTTGGAGTTGGCCTAGGATTTTTCATTTCTTGAAAATTCTCAGGGGTTGCCAGTGGGGTGATTCACATTTTGAGTTACAAGTTAATAAAGCATAATAACATAATTAATAGCCCTAACATAAGTATCTTCCTGGTTGCACTTTAGGGAAAAAAGCCCAAAACCAAAAACAAAACTCAAACCGGTCATTAAGAATCAGTTGAGAATGGGTGCTGGACAGAAGTCACCCAACGCTTCCCCAGGGAAGGTAAGGGGTGAAGTCAATGCTTCTGAGAAGAAGTTGCATTTTATCATTTTTTAGATATAACAACTTGAGATTTAATGAAGTTAGCTACTCTTTCAGATTTAATAATAGTGAAAGGTGTGGAACATTCTTTCCTTAGCATTTAAAAATCAAATTCAAAATGCTGCTTTAATTTGATTTATTTCAGAGAAATAACGTCTATTTTTAAAAGTAAATCAACACTGGTGGAAATTAGAATAAATTAAATTTTAATTGCTCACCTTCCTCTCAACCATTTCATATTTATTCATCAAGTGCAAGAGTAGAACATGAATGGAGTTTTTGAACAGTATGTTTTGAAAAGAGCAAGAGCCAGATGGAAGCTCTAACTGGATATAAAAACAGTGATTTTAATTTTCAAAATAACTCATCAGATCAGGCAGGTTCTAAAATAGAGGATCATCACACTGACTCTGCCATCATTTAGAGGCGGTTTGCTAGGTGCTGTGGTGCTCACTCATCAGGAGATGATGCTCCTCTTCCATTGCTCCAACATTTTGCTGGTTTCTCACTGATCGGATTTTTCCCTTCATTAAATAGTTTTCTAATTTTCATTTTCCAAGTCCTACAGCAGTAATTCTAATTTATGAACACATTTGCTGCTATTAAAAACATAACTTAATGGTCCTAGAAATAGAAATGTTTTCTTCCTAAGAATTTGACATAAGAAGCTATGTTGGAAAGAGAAAAACCTGAAGGAGCAGAGGGCGGGGTCGCCACGCTATGTCACCGAGGACTTAGGTGTCAGGGAGATTTTGTGAGACAATCTTTAAGTGGCATCATGAATATAGTGAAAAA